ATATACAATTTGTTTTGTTTTTAAAAAGAAAAGAATAAACAGTCAATAAATAAAATAATGTTTCTAAGAACGCCACCACTAACACACACAAAAATAAAAAAAACCAGCTGGGTTTAGCTGTAAATCAGTGAAAGTCACTTCAATCCTCAGCCCTTTCACAAGGCTATGAAGTCTAAAGTCTACAGTACAAAGACGTCTTTAGAAGAAGAACTTTAAAGGTATTTGTTTGATGGGATTTGGTTAACCGAGACWGTGTCGTGGGGGTATTAATCATTAAACTCCCATCTACCACAGCCAACTTCTCCGGCACAGCAGCCTTTGAGATGTGAGCGCTTTCAGCACATTGTAGATTTGCTCTGAAGGTTTCAAGTCAGATACGTTTGAAACATGAACCCTGCAGATGTAAGAAAAACATCTTATTTAGATACTCTTGACATGATCCTTTAAGGCACAAGAGATATTCAGTGTATCCCTACACCAAGGCATTATTTGGAGGAAGCTCCTTGTGAATGAAATCCACTTCTCAAGGTGAGGGTCGAACATAGATTAAAAGGTAAATAATAGTTAAAAACAGCTTCACCTTTCAGATTAGCTCTCTTTTTGTCATAATGCTGCACCAATCCGCCTGTCATCTGCAAACTTATGCACTAGACCCCCAAGCCACGTAAAGTTTAAGGACATCAGCTCAGTCCTGACCAGAAGCTGCCGTTCCAGTTGCTCCCGTGCCTGGTGGAGCTCTCTGTTCAAAGAAGCAAAACATCTGCAGAGACACAGTGTGAAGCCAGCTGAACTGGAAACCTTCTGCCCATCAGCTGAGCCTAAAATGTCTGTCCACAGAATCAGAACCACTGGGCAGTCCTGGCAGAGTTCAACACCCACTTGGATTTCTACCAGCGGTAGTGATTACCAGTGTCAATACCAGCATTTTAACTCATTCAAAATGTCCCGATACATGTGCAGAGGACGCGACATCACATTCAGCTGGTTGTTTACAGACATGAACACCCGTGAATGCTACATGTTAGCATTTTTCGATTCAGAAAACGTCCTGCAACCAGAGCTCGTTATATCATTATCTGACCTCTTGTTTAATTCACTGTTTACATTTTAACCTGCCTCTGATTGGCTGCTCTGGTGAAGCGTGTATTTATGGAACAAAACAACATGCTCAAATTAAAACTAAAATATCGTTCTGCTTTAGTCCATCAATAACATGACTATGATGTTTCTGTGGATTCTTAAGGCCTAAACGTACTCCATCTGAATAAAACTTCAGACTTAAGTCACTTTGAAAAACATCAGACATGTACCTGATTTAATACCAGGTTCTAAATCAAAGAAATGTGTTTTTAAGCTTTAACTCAGTAAGTACTCATTATCGGCGAGTACTCAAACCAAAGTACTCTGAGGAAAAACWAGTATTGCGACACCCGTAGCTCAGTTGTACCAGGACTAAATGACATCTCAGAGCAGCCTCTCCAGGACACACTAAGGGACATGGACATAAGACAACATGAAACTATTTATGTAACAAAGTTTATCAACAAAATGTTTTTCCTCATGTTTTTACAGACAGCATGATGTGATGTTAGATTTGTGTCATGTCTCTTTTTACCTCATCAATCACACTCTCTTCACTCCGAGTCAGTGGTTCCCAACCTTTTTAGACTTGTGTACCCCCTGAGCCATTTTGTCAAACCACTAGTACCCCTTCCTACAGAGTTCCGCTCAATTCTAGTTTCCCTTCACTGCTCCGTCTGGGATTTCTCCCATAGACAAGGATTTCTTCAGCAGAATTTCATTTGGGCCAATCAGAGAATAGAAGGCAGAGTTTTTGAACGACGTCGATTTTCTGCACAGTGTCTGCTAGTTAGTTTAGCATACGGCAGTGGAGGAAGTGAATGAAGCCAGTCCATGTTGATAAGGCTTCCAAATTAAAATAAATTTGTCTGACAAAGCAGCAGCTCTCATTTACAGTCGTCTCGTTCGGCTCGGTACTTCTCTCCTCTCAGTAGGGTTGTTTACAGCACACACGATTTCCAGTTAGCTTTTTAGCTTAGCCTCCTTCACAGTGGAGCTGGCACGCATACGTCGCGGCCAACCGATCCAATCATTTTAAACTTCAGCAGAGGCCACGCCTCCAGCAAGAATCGCTTCTCTATAGCCGAGAGTCCAGACCCTCGATCCAATCATTTTAAACTTCAGCAGAGGCCACGCCTCCAGCAAGAATGACTTCTCTATAGCCGAGAGTCCAGACCCTCGTACGATGCAAAGTGAAGGACAAGGGTCTGGTTTTAACCAGGCTAGTACCCCTCAGTCAACCGTAATGATTCTCCAAAACTATAATCTACTACAACTGATTATTAAAAGAAAATTATTTATTTAAGCCCCTAGAACAGTTAATTCTCAGGCATTTTTTTTTAACTCAAATTGAACAAAGATAAATATGTTGCCTTGAAAGTGACTAAATAATTAAATAAACCAGGAAGGAAGCAGCAGCATCCAAAATATATCAGAAACTCACCCAAATGAACAAATTCTGTAAGATTCCACATTTTATACTGGATTCCATTTTGTGTTAAATCTGTGAGTCCGTGTGCAATTTCCTGCATTGCAGAAATCATAGGGCCCTACATATCCCAGTCCTATTTTTATTTATTTTTTTACACACCTGGGAAATTTTTCCACGTACCCCCTGTAATATGCTCACGTACCCCTGGTTGGGAATCATTGCTGTAAGTGAACACAGCATCCTTTCTAAGTCTGGCTCCAAGATCTTGTTTTTATTATTATATATAGAGTCCAATAATGAGAAATATTTGGAGCAAGATATAAACGTGTAATTTATCATACAAGCTCCATTGTTATCTCTGTTTTTTTAAGTGAAAAGATGTCCAGACTCTTAAGAGCATAGTTTCAAATGACATCGATCATGTCTGAAGATAAAATGAATCTCTCATCAGTGGGGATTTAAAGTCCTTATGACATTAAAGCATTGATTTTATCAGCTCTTGAAGATGCATAAGAGCTGGTGGTATACAGTGAGTTCTCTTTACTTGTGGCCACACAGTTGGTCAGAGGTTTGGTTCAATCAATTTCTCCCTTCATCCATCTCTTTCTTTTCCTTCTCATCTCCATAATCATCCCATTATGGCTGCTAACACACTAATGTCTGCCAGTCTTCTTTCTTCTTAATAACCTTCTTTTCTTTCTCCTTTCTTCGAATTTCATGTTTCCACATGATTGACCTTCCCATTATTTGACTCTATACATGCAGCGTGGACCAAATCCCTCTCACAATGCTCTCAGCRCAATACATTGTACTGCATTTACCTCGCAGAGCAGCAAGTCGGTGATGTGGAAAACCATGCAGAGGGGGAACTTGGCCGTGAAGAGGGTGAGGAACCACTGGGAGGCATACATGTGTGCCTCCAGGTTCAGCTCCTGGAAGTGGCTCCAAAGGTCTGGAAGTTGTTCCTGTGGGAGAAGAATAAAAAAAGAATAAGAAAACTGTGAGATGAAACATCAATCATAAAAAAAACTCTGTGAAGAAACACTTTCATTACTTCACTTTTTACTCAGACCTAAATGAATTAGGGATAAAGAAATACACACTAAGAGATAGTTTTATATATGAATAAATAAACACAAATAMATTTAAAAACTATGAAATCCAGCTGAAACCACAAAGTACGCGAGGTTTCAATTTAAGTCCCTGAAACAAAAATCCAAACCTCTATGATTCAGTTMATCCTTGTGAGACTTTAAAAGAAAATGTTGCATTACTAACCTGTATCAGCCTCTCCAGCTGGTAGAACTTGCAGTGAAGATCTTCAAAGTTGTTCCTGTAGAGAGCTCGGAGGCCGTAATCATACATGATTTTCACCAACACACAGAAGGCCTGCTCCTCGGGCATCTGAAACCACACGGATAACTTTAATGCAACTCCAATTCCAACGAAGCTGGGACGTTGTGAAAAACATAAATAAAAACAGAATCCATTCATTTGCAAATCATTTTCAACCTATTTTCAATTGAATACACTACAAAGACGAGATATTTCATGTTCAGATRAACTTTGTTTGTTTCAAATATTCACTCAGTTTGAAATTGATTCCTGCAACACCAATAAAAACAAAAAAGCTGGGAAAGTCGACAAATGTAACATAAATAAATAAATAAATAAATAAATAAATAAATAAATAAATAAATAAATAAATAAATAAACTGGAGCATTCCACAGGTGAAAAATTATATTGGAAACATGAGAGTGTTGTTATAATTGAGTATAAAGGGAGCATCCTTGAAAGGCTCAGTCGTTCAAAGTGTCAGATGATGCCAAAGAGGAAAAGGACTGTCCGTTTTCTTATCAGCGCAAAGTTCAAAAGCCAGCCTCTCTGATGGTATGGGGGTGTATTAGTGCCTACAGAATGGGTAAATGTCATATCTGTGAAGCATTAATGGTGGTTTTGGGGCAACAAGCTGCCAACCAAGTCACGTCTTTTTCAGGGACGGCTCTGCTTATTTCAGCAAGACAATTCCAAGCCTCACTCTGTTACTCTTACATGTTATAATGAAAGAGTGCTGGGACTAGACCTGTCCTCCTGCAGTCTAGACCTATCGCCCATTGAAAATGTGTGGAGCATTATGAAGAGCAAAATACGACAACAGAGACCCCGGATTGTTGAGCAACTGAAGCTATGCATCAAGCAAGAATGGGGAAGACTTCCACCAACAAAGCTTCAACAGTTAGTGTCCTTAGTTCACAAACACTGATTTGAGTTTTGTCAAAAGGAAAGATGATGGAACACAGTGGTAAACATGACCCAGAATCAGAATCAGAATCAGAACTGCTTTATTGTCATTCACACACAACATCAGAGATGCAATGCAGAAAGAAATTTGCAGTTTAGAACATCCATTTTTTTTGGAACATGTTGCAGGCATCAAATTCAAAATGTGTGAATATTTTTAAAATCCAATTACGTTTATTTGTTTGAACATTAAATATTGTCTTTGAGGTGTATTCAATTGAATACAGGTTGAAAACGATTTGCAAATCATCGTGTTTTGTTTTAATCTATGTTTTACACCACTTGATTGGAATTGGAGTTGAACCTATTTTATGAACGTGAACTTTTAACAACAAAATGCGGAGATATTTAATCAGAATGATGTTATATGTTTGGGGCTGAATGAGCTCCTGCAGGTAAACCTGAACACCTATAAATATTYTTGATATCTCTTCTATAACCTCCTCCTCCTCCATAACCCATCTGCCTCCTCCTGTATAACCTCTACTCACTTTACTGCAGCTGTCCCGATTATCTCTCCTTCTTTTCCACACTTTTACAACCATAACTTCCTCGGCACTACTTCCTCATGTCCCTTCATTAAATTTATGGCTCTTCTTCCTCGCTCCAGCTCCTCCGGACTTCTCAGTGCCTCCCGACTACCCCCGCTGTTTCACTGCTCTTTAACCTCTGCTGCCCTTGGTGTCTGGACTTCAACCAGACTTCCACCTCTGTCTCTCCTCCATTTGGGACTCCTGGCTCCATGTGTCCTCTCTTCTGTCTCTCCTCCATCTGTCTCTTTCTCCAATAAATTTTGAACTGGTTTTTATTCGGACGAGTTGCGGCGCACACAAATCAACTCTTTACACCAATTTCTTTCCCCTGCAGTACTGTAAAATATCTTAATGAGATGAATTCAGCTAATTTTCTGAAACGTTTGCTTCAGTTCCCATTGCATGCACAAAGAAGACTGAAGATACACCAGTTGCATAGAAATTATGAAGAYATCATATGATGCATCGTTGAGCAAAGTGTTAATTTGTCTGCATTACTCAAAACAAATGCAGGATTAGAAAAATAAGCCAGATTTACTCACATGCAGAAGAAGAACTGCAGCAAGAAACGACTGACCCGGACAATAACCAATTTCTTCATCATAGACAGAGTACGCCTGTAAGAGAAAGGAAAAKATGAAAACTTTAAATGCAAATTTATTAACAAGAAGCTAGAGGTTACAATAATGAGTCAGCAATATTGTTGCTAAAATTTCTATTATGATTCTGATTTTATGAGTACTTATTTAGGTCAGTGATTAAAAAAGCCTCAGTTAAAATGTTTTCTTTTTTATTATAAAGAGGGTTTGGTTTAATATTTATATACTCCATAAATGCCCTTTCTATTTCTCTGAGGATAAGCAGCCAGTCATATCTACACCATTTGATCTTAAAAGCCTTGTTGAGCTTTCACTGAAATGTTGACGCTATCGCGCCACAATCATGAAAAGAAGAACATATCCTAGGAGACCGTTTCTCACCAGCCCTCGAGTTTTCCCAGAAAGAACAGCCCAAGGACTCGTTTTTTTAAATCTTTTTCCGTGGCAATGTCACTTTCTACAAGATTTTCAATATTTTGAAAGTAAAATAACGCTTCTAAATCTAGTAACATGACACATAAATTCATTACTTTAAGTAAGGAACTAGTAAAATGTTTAAGACCATATAAATCCAGAATGCCATGCCTAATATTTTTGTATGCTACTATGCAAATCATCAGCAAAGCTAAAGAACRGGTATAAAAAATTAAGTCAGCAAGTGAACAAGAAGTGAAGTAAGATGAAATTCTGTAATTTAGAAGACATTTTCTCCCAACAGCCTTGGATTTGTATTATCCTCCATCTTGTTTCAACATTGGGGAGAAAGGTCTTTAGCAAGTAGGAATAAGATGCTTTAAATCAGGGATGGGCAACTTGTTTTTGTGAGGTAGACTATCTGTTCACAGAATTTCAAGGGAAACCTGTGTTTCATCTGCTCAGAGATGCTGTCTGCCATGGATTTTAATATGCCCTAAGTCACTGCTACAACACGTTGCACAAAGCTAAATATGAGAAGTTTACTGAAGTTGTAAATACATAAATAGCAACTTTTTACCAGAACCACAACCATGCAGGAGTCTRCACACATACAGGTATGCACACACACAAGTTTATATTTCTATCCTTATTAGGATCATCATTGACTTCCATTCATTTCCAGTAGTTTCTATAGCCTAACCCTGACCACTTATCCTAAAACTAACCTCACAGGTACCTTACTGACCCTAAACTAACCTAAACTTCATTCACAACTAAAGGCCCCCACATACTCGGTCAAATCTATTATCCACATTTAAGACTGATTAATCTTTTGACTGCTGCAGTAGCTCGATGGGAGGCAGCCTGTTTAGTTTAGTCGTTCACAGCAAACAGAGGACAGAGCTTTAAAAGGCAAAGATTCAAAATCCCTGCCACACATCTGTGCTTAAAAACACATTAAAATTCAACAATAAATGGTTGTTTGAAAGCTTCCTCCAAGAAACCTATCTAAAACTAATATATTTTCTGATTACAAGTGTAAACCCTTCAGCCAAAATGAAATGGAAAGATTTGGTGGGTAACGGCTTCAGTATCCTCAGTTATTTTGTCAGGCTGCACTCTCTTCTACAACCAGACTGACATTAATAGCAGAGGGTGAAGACTTGTCTTTTCTTGTCTGAAAAATAAACACAGAAGCTCGGAGTCCCGCTCTTGATGCGTTCAGCTAATTTGGTATTTGAAGTGAAGGTAATGAAGAAGTCTTGCAGTGCAGTCTTTCGTGTAATCTACAAGCTGACATGCTTGATGGAGTGTGGCATTCACACGTCCCCAACTCGGCTGGGAGAAGTTCATTCTGACAGATGGATGGGGGAGGTCCTGGTGGGTGAAATCTAAATTTGTTGGCCTGGGCAGATAATAGGCTCAGATGGRTGGATTACTGCAAAATATGCACGGTTTCCCAACCATCAACACACAGAGTTTTCTATGCTCATGKATGCAGTGTCTAAAACATGTTAAACTGGTTTTTGCAGGTGAGAAATGAGGGAATGAATCATCATTGTTTCCCATCATTGCAAAACCTGAATTGTTGCATCATTGTCATTTCTGAAAACATGTCTGGGATTTACGTTCATTTCACAGAACAGTTTCAAGAAAGTGCCTCGTGAGCGGCATTCTCAACTACCAAAGAGGGCCTCCCAGGTGATCAACAGTAGACGTCAGAGATTTTGTTTCTAAGTGAATGAATGGAACAGAAAATGAAGGAGATTATTTCTAACAGTCAGCCCAGTCCCAGAATCTCCATCAGAACCAAGATGGTGGCGGTGGCGGCAGATGTATTTACTGTAGCTGTGCAGTACTGCTGCAGGAAAACACATCCCATTTGGCTTTACAGGCATCTGCAGGTCTGTTTTTGACCAAATTTACCTCAGCTTTAGTGTTGCTGTTACTCTGTATGCTACATAAACGGAAGATCAAAGACGCAAATGACAGACATCATTTTCGAAAAACAACAGCACACAAGCGTCCTATGGCGATTATACAAGCATCGACCATAAGTTATCCTAACTTTGGTAAATATCATCTACCTTGCCGGTTGGGCTGGTTTCTCCGGCTTGCTGCTGTTGCGGCGTGTCGGTGGAGTGGCGGATGTGGATGGAGTCCCTCGGCCCTCGGATTGTCCCTCGTGTTTGGACGGAGCGCCTGGGGTGGACTTGCCGGTCTGGACGCGTGGCGGTGGGAGCTGGGACGGAGCGACTAATCTAACAAGTCAGGTGTACCAGCTTCCCTGTTGCCTATTTGGATCAATATCAGCTGTGCCCTGTTTTTCGGTTGAGGATCAAACTGGAGCTACTGGTTTTGGTGAGCATGCTCCTGTCCGACATGGTGGGAACCATGTTATTCAAGCCTTGAAGTGTGCGCCATTCAGCGAAGAAAAGAATGACAATGTGACAATGGCTTATTTTACTCCTCTCAAAGAAGCCATTTTTGTGAAGAAAGACCGTCCATCATTAAACAGAGGTGGAGGCCTCCATTTTCAGTTGTCCCCCTCCTACAGCGC